TCCCCGGGCGCCGTTGCGGCCGCGGACACACCCCCTTGCACCGAGCGGGCCGCGAGGCCTGGGAGCTCCGGGAGCCCCTCTGGTCTGGGTTAGCCTCTTCACGTTGCAGTGCGGTCGTCAAACTGCGGTGAACAGCTTGTTTCAAAAGCACACGCGTCTGCTGCTAGGAACTGCAAGGGAGGAAACGTGACTTGAATGTACGTTTTTAAGTAGAATTGTCGGAACCGGGACAAGTAGGCCAGGTAATGGGTGAAATAAAAAGCCTGTCTGTCTTCTGTAGCAGTGCCTGCTCAGTAGACTCTATTTGCTCTATTGATACTTTTTGTGAGGTATACAAAGCCGGGAGGAGTGCTGGTGTTCAAGGGGGTGCCCCCTTTATCTACTTTATGATGCTGGGATTAAACAGGGCCTTGGGCATGCTAGGCATGTGCTGTGCCACTGAGTCACACCTCCTGCCTCCCACTTCCTTTTGAACATTTTTGAGAGAAGGTCTTTCTGAACTGCCCAGGATGACCTCAAATTTGGGATCTTCCTGCCTCACCTACCAAGAAGCTGAGGTTACAGGTGTGTGCTACCCATGTTTGACTTTAAAATTTTTATTCCTAGCCATCAGCTTTAGGAAATGGAGATTGACCCATGCTGTCAAGAACAATATATGTGGAAAAATGTCCATCGGGAATCTGTGATTATTGGCCCTGAAAGGGTGTGGAAGCAATTGCATATTACCATTACTTTAAGAGTAGGCTGCCGGTTCTTAACACCTGCTGTCATTTGTAATCTGCCCATTTTGTGGAGACATCAAAATGAAATTGTAAATCTTTGCCTAAGTGCTGAATCTTGTTAGTGTTAAACATTTTGATTACTTTATAGTTTAATTAAAGAGGGTCTCTTTGTTCACCTGGTGGAAGTTCAGGTGGAGATTTGTTTTCTCTCCTTTTCCTAAATGTTTGAGGAAGTTTATAGAAAGCACTGGGAATATTTAGAGTAAATAAACAGTTTAAACAGGAGATTGCAGTAGCCTAGGTTAAGTGAGTGAAACTGGGGTGAAGCTGGGAATGGTATAGTCAGATGAAAGTACACTGTTTCTATTTTGTGATTTTAGAAATCAGATGCCTTCCTTGTATACATAAATATGTTCTTCATATTATTTTAGCAGAACCTCTCACAGCAAATGTAGTACACTCAAAAGAAAAAATCAAAACAAAAATGAAATAGTACATTCGAATTGACATGTTCAAGTTGTGGGATTGGAGTCAGGAGCTCTAGGCTCTGGTTGTGGTTGTGGTTGACATTTTTTTTCTGTACCAGGGATCAAACTGGTCCTTGCGCTTGCGGGGCAGGCAGCAGAACCGCTCTTTGGGCCTCCTGGGTGAACATGATACTTTTTGTATAGTATTGTCATTTTTCAAAATGCTTTCACTTAGTTCAGTATGTGAAATGCTAGGGTTGGACCAGATCCTTTGTAGTGCTGGCATTTTGAAATATTTTTCAAGGTCTCAGAAAAATGGGTGGCTTTGAATTGGGATTAACTCTTGGACCTGTTAACTAGATTGCCACTAATAAAAAACTTTTAAAATGTAGGAAAAAAATCAATGTCTTAAAAAATATAACTGCCTAGTGTACCCTGAGTGGAGAAATTATTTAATAGGTAAATATTTGCCTGTTGCTTGCCTGGTAATGCTATTTGGAAAGCTTTGAAGTAAAACTACTAAAATGAAAAAGTACACAGTTTTATAATAGCCAGGTAGTGGAATAGTTGTTTTGGTTGGTTGGTGACATTGTTATTAGAATTTTATTGGATTAGTTCCTTAGTGATAGGAATTAAGGCCAGTACTCACAGTGCAGTAGGAAACAGGTCCACGGATACTGGGGTGTATGAAGTTGTTTGAAAAGGAAATTCTGTAATGAGAGTGGTAAGAATAAATGTCAGCTACATTGTTGGGGTAAAAACATAAGCCATATGAATTGGACATAAAAGAAAATGGTCAAGTTTTTGAGTTTTCTGGTACCATGGCTACTTTGTCTACACTGTCATGGTAACTTGGTTTTGTATCAAAGTATTCTCTTTCATTGTGGTGGTTCCTTTCTTTTATGCAAAATAGGTCTCTATTAGAATACTTGTTAAAATGTAAATGGAAGATGAAGGACAGAACCAATATAGTTTTGTACCCTGAAGTACTGTGGTTATCTAACTGTAGAAATGTAATCAGTGAGAAGTACCTTTTAGGTGATAAAGCCTTGTACAGAAAAGATTTTGTCTGTCAAAATGGATGAGAGTTTTGACTTTATTGCTTTTTTGTTTTTTTTTGTTTTTTTTTTTTAACAGTTTCACTGTGTAGTTCAGATTGGCCTTGAACTCACTGTGTAGTTTAGGTCACTGTGATTCTGCCTCAGCCTCGAGTGCTGGGATTACAGGTGGTGGCTACCACACCTGGCTTCAATTACTCTTCCTACAGCTTGTGGTTTACGCTGCTTTATTTCTGAGTTTTGCTTTTCTCCCCAGTTGTTCAATGACTTGTGAGTAGAGAATTTTTAGTCAAGAATTTTGCCTCTGTCTTCTCATGACCTTGCAAAAGCTAGTAAATCTCACATAGTTTATTTGTATCATAAAAGATGCTAGCTATAAAAATTTTTGTTTTAAAATTTTTAATATAGGCTGGGGATTTAGCTCAGTGGTTCTGCCGCCTGCCTCACAAACACAAGGACCTGAGTTTGATCCTTAGTACCCCCCAAATTTTTTTAATATAAAATAAAAAATCAGTTTCTACTCCCAATCCTCTTACCTTAATTTCAAGTCTTACCCTTTTTTAACAGTTACCTTTTTCAGTTTTAGATTAAAAAACATTCATAATGGGATAACATATGCAGTCTCATTTAATAGCACCTCTTATTAAATTATTCCTACTTAGTGCCTTCTTAGTTAATTGGGGAGGAATAGTGCATTGGATTTTGTTTCCTAAAAAAGATGATGTGGCTCAGGTTGTAGCTCTTGAAACGGATGTCCAAGGTATGTGCTAAACTATCTTATGCAGTATGAGTATTTATCAAACTAACAGACATGACCTGGGTGCTTCCAGAGCCTAATAACTGAATCTTGCTACTCTCAGATCTTGTGGACACAGGCACCAGAACTATCTAAGAGTAAACGTCTGGTCATTCCCGGGCTTCTCTCCTTACAACTCCTCAGAAGCTCCCCATAACCTTTAGTCACCTAGGGAACTTGTTAAGGTAGAGATGCTGAAACAACCCCCAAGATTCTGATTCAGTTGTGTAGAAGTCCCAGACTTTGCTTCTCTGAACTATATCTTAACATTTCTGACTTTTTGACCACCCCCGCTCTTTTTTGGGTGGTGCTGAGAATTGGATCCAGGGCCTCACATGTGTGCTAGGTAAGACTAAAGTCTTATCTCTGAGCCCAATCCCCAGGCCCAGCCCTTTTTCATTTTGACAAAAGGTCTTCATAAATTGCCTAGGCTGGCCTTGAATCTATGATCCTCCTGCCTCGGTCTCTCTAGTAACTGGGATTTTTGGCTGTGTCGATATGCCTGACTACATTTCTTTTTGTCTCAATTCCAGGGCTCTACATTTTTAAGCAGCTCTCCAGGTTTGCAAGTGGCTTACAAATCCTACTGTGAGAAACACCTGTTACAGCTTTCAATTTTCTTTGTGAATTGAGCTCCTTCATAATTTGAGGCTCCTGTCTAACTTAAGCTTCATTCATTGCTGATAATTTCTTGAACTTCATATCCTGGCCATTTCAAAGAACTTTAATCTCCAGTAGATGTCATGTAGATTTACTTATTGATCATAATAGAATAGTTCAAAATGTAAAAGATAATGTTACACAATAAAAAGTCTTTTCATTTGTCATTGTCTCTGCACATAACTTCTTGATTTTTTTGTTTTGTTTCAGAAATTATATATAAATCAACACAGTGAAATATTCTTTTTTCTTCACCCCATCCCATTTTATTCATTGATAACATACTACTTAAACTATTTTGCATCTTTTAAGCTTATCATATTTGTGGAAATTATCATAAAGGGCATTTTCATTCTGTTTTTTAATAATATACAGTGGTCCCTCAGTTTTTTGGGGAAGATGGCTGCATTTGTGTTTGTGTGGGGAAGATGGCCCTAGTGGTGTTTGTCATCTGATGTGGAGTTTGTAAACAGAAGCAAAATTTTGCTGAATGTTTTTGTGTGAACTAAGGTATTATCGTATATGCGTATTTATTTCATTGTGTGCAGGTGCCTTCACTTGTTTAACACTTAGCTTGGTTTAATCATTGAGTATTTGTGTTCATATGCTTGTGAATCAAGCTGTAAGATACCTAAAAGAAGAGTTGCTCAGTAAGAAGACACATGCATAAGAAATGTTAATAGGCATTGCCAGATTGTCTTCCTTAGAGATTATATATATCAGTGTTCACTTTGGTCAGTGATGGACTTGCTTTTTATGACTATCAAATTTTGAAGTCATTTCCAACCCAGACGGTGAAAATGGTATTTCAGAGTGATTTAATTTGCATCCCTCAGAATGCTCTTCTCCATCCTTCAGCCAATTCTCATTCTTCCTTTGGGGTCAGGATCAGACATTACTGTTTCAGGAAACCTTGACAACCTTGCTGTGCACATGCACCTCTGCCTACCAAAATTGGGTTAAGAATTTTTCATTATATCTTCATAATAGCAATCTGGTTATTTTCTTCTCTAGAGAAATTATTTGGGAGCAAGAACTCCATTTTATTATCATTCTCTCCACCTAATAAAAAAAGTGGTGAAATGTTTCTGATGTTCTTTGAGATGACTTTTTAGTTCTTTGCTCTCCGAGGTTGAGGATCACCTTCCTTCTACTCCATGGCTTTATTGCCAGCTATCAGTCTTCTAGATGTTAGATGATACAAACTTAAGGCAGAGCTCACCAATGTGACACAGCTCTCCCCGTCACCTGTTTCAGATTTTTTTCTTAAAATATGCTAGTTATAACTAATGTCCTGTCCGTCCAATTTTTTTCTGCTCCCTGCCTTCCCAGAAGTAACCTTTACTGTCCTGAAGCTGCTGTATACATTATTTTCATGCATATGATTTTACGTTTATTTCCATTAATTTTTTTTCTTCTGTTTTTCTTTTTTCTCTCGGTACCGGGGATTGAACTCTGGACCTTGTGCTTGCGAGGCAGGCATGGTGCCACTGAGCTATATCCCCGGCAATTTTACATTTATTAATACAATTATGTCCATAAATAGTTATAATATTTTGTATGTCTTTAAAAAGATATATCAATAGCATATTCTTTACAATATGTGCTTATTCTTTAGAAATTTGCTTTTATTTGCTGTTGGTATTGAAACATCGATGTTGACATGTTAATTCATTCTAAATGCTGTATAGTTTTCCCTTGTTTAGACAGTTAGGTTTTTTTTGTAGTTTTCCTATTTTAAAAAATGCTACAATTAGAAGTACAGATAAAATTTCCCTAAGAACTCAGTGACTGCTTGAATCCCCACATTCTGATCAGCACTTGATAAATTTTAACCTTTTTTCCAATATGATGAGGGTAAATGTTAAAAGGGTAAAATTCATCTTTTAGCCAACAAAATTCAAACTTTGATTGTGATTCAGAGTCAGGAGTATTTTACATTGTTACTAGTTATATTTGAAATGTTACAGCTATTACTAAAAACATATATTAATAAAAATATATTAGGAAACAATTTAGCCTTGTTAAAGTGTATTCTATTTTCTATTTAGTAGACATGCTGTTTGAAACCAACCTATGAAGTATTATAAATGAAGTTTGAAAATCACTGCTTAAGACAGTGTTTTGAGGCTGAACAAGTAGGCTGGACATGACATGAAGGTATCAACCATCATGTCAAGGAATTAGCTTTCTCTCCTAGTTTTTTTCAGATTTAGGCAGTAGAATAAGGTCTTGTGGAGTCTCTTGTTTTGATGAATGTCAATTTTTTTTCTTTTTTTTTGAGACATCAGCATTTTGGGCAAAGTGTAAAACTAGGATTCTATTGGTGGTGATTAGGCTGGGGCTAGGAGTTAGGCAAAACATGTAAAGAAGAAACTAGTTGAAAAAGCCTGGAGGCCAGCTTTTGCATTAATCCACGTAAGAGTGGATGTGGTCCAGAATTCAAGTAGTGGCAGTATAAACATATATGACACAGTTTGGAGAAACAGTTTATGGGTACAAGTATTTGACGTTGCTACTGGCTGGCTGCGGAGGTTGAGAGTTGAGGGAGGAATTAAAGATGACAGCTGGATTTATTCCGTTGACTGTTTCCTATGCAAATGGTGCATACATGGCACTCAGCAGTGCAGATTTGAAAGGGGAAATATGTAGTCAAGTTTCAATGCTTTTGAAGAGAGCTTCTTGAGTTTCCTGTGAGTGGATCCTGAAGTAGGCCTTTGGAAATTTGAGTCTGAAGTCTTTGTAAATAGGGAAGGGTCGAGGGGTGAAGGGAGGCTAGAGGAATGGGGAAAAAATAAGAACCAAGATACATCATGTAAAGGTACAAGATCCCAATGATGAATGTAACTGAACTGTACACCTAAAATGTACCAATAAAAATATATTTTAAAAATTTTGAGCCTGTAGCTTGAAAGTAGCTTATGCTGGAAGGATAGAATTCAGTTACTGGCTCATACTTGCTAGGTCAAATTGTCCAGTTGGAGTTAATTCAGGGTAAATGAAGTGAGAACAGCTAATAGCCAAAGAAGGAACTTAGAGCAATACTCTGCATTCAGGAGAGGAAGTAAACAATTAACAAAAGAAATACTGAAGCAGAGAACATTGGGGAAAGTGAGAACATGAGAGAAAGAATAAGTGGAAAAGAAATGATTCAAGATAAGTAGCAAATATATAAAGAAATATTTAGAGGTTGGTGCACCAGGCCTGATGATGATAGAGTAATTAACTTTCTAGCTATTTGGGTGCTGTTTTAAAGACAATTATGAATGATAGTTTTACATATATTGGTACTGGGGGTTGAACCTAGAACCTGGTACATGCAAGTGTGCCATCTCGCTGAACTGTACTTGTCAGGCGCTTTGTAAAATTTTATTTTGAGCTGAGCATGGTAGTACTGCATGTAATCCCATAAAGTCCAAACCAAAATTTAGAACACAAGGTCAAAAAATTTGGACAAGGAATTGAAGGGCCAGTTGTTATGTACTTTCCCCTCATTGCTGAGACAAAATACCTGACAACCAAAGTTAAAAGGGAAAGGGTTTATTTAGCTTACAGTTTGTAGAGTTTTTAGTCCATAAATGGCTGGTTCCAAGGTAGAGTAGCACATGATAGTGGGGCATTATAGAAGAGAACAGTTCATGGCACCCACAAGGTAGCAAAAACAAGGGATCTATAGCAGCATGTTTTTGCTCCTTTTATTTTACCCAGACTACAGGGATTAGGATGGTGTCAAACCAATCGCTGTACTGGTTTAGTAGTCACAGACCCTTAATCCCAACTGTCCTTAATCCCCTCTCACACTCTAGATTCAGCTACCTCTGAAAAAGCCACCTATGACCACATGAAGCAGTAGGAGGACATCTAGACTCAAATCATAACAGCCAGCTACCCTTGTTTTATTTATAGCCATCAGAAGTAGTAGATTGATGAAACTGCAGTAGACTTGTGCATTTGAGTTCTCAGTGTCATTGGCAGTTTTCAGTGCCCTATATAATAAATGTGATTGAGTTCAACTACTATGCAAAAAACACATTAGCTGGGTACTCAGATATTTGGTGAATACATTTAAGTTTTTAGAGCTCAGTTTCTGGCATCCACTTGTAAAGTGGGACCATGAGAAGTACTATAACAATATGATGTATTACTGTAATTAATCTACCATTACCCAGTTCTGATCAGGTAAAGATGGCCTGCTTTGAAGGCAACTGTCCTTAGCTGAGTTATCTTCTCTAGCACCAGCTTATTATGCAATATTGTTGATTTTCAGAAACATATATGCCCAGCACCCAAACAATACAAAAAATGGAAACATGCATGAATGAATTCACTCAACAAATACTTATCCACCATGTAAGCCCATAGGGACAGTGATGAACAAGTACTTATATATAGTAAGAAGAAAAGGATTTTGGATGCTTATTAAGATGTTTAGTACAGTTTGTAGTTGAGAATTGAAAATAATCTGGATGCTAAAGCCATGTCCATCATAATCTGGAAGTCTCTTAAGAGTTTTTCAAAACTGATTTGTATTGATTTGTTCATTAAAGTAAATGGGTAGTGTTATTTAGTTATGTGAGTCATTGCTTTTAACAGTATTCTTGACATTGTTTTGCTCTAGGCTTATGGATAAGTATCAATTTGTTATACAAGATGTCTGATCTATGAGTTAACATCTATGTATTAATTTTCACAATAGCCAAAGGTTTCCTCTACTCTTGAGAAATACTAATTTCTATTTAGATTATAGAGTAAGGACAAAAACTATTTAAAAACTCATAATCCAGTATTCATAGACAAAAGACTGAGTAGATAGCAAAATATTAACACCAGTTATCCCAGAATAAGATTATATTTGATTTTTGTTTTGCTTTATGCACCTTTCATGTTTTTAGTAGTATTTTTATAGTATTTAAAAAGTAAAATAACACATCACAATTTAAGAATTTTTTCTTTGTAATTCATTAAATGATATAAAATTAAACATATTTAAGATTTTAAATTGGACAAGATCTTAAAAACTGATTTCTATATCCAAAAGATAAAAGGTATAAAAGAATTTGGAAAAGGAAAGACAACAATATGCTTTTTAAATCTACTAGCATTTACTCCAGAGGATGATTTCCTACTTGCTGGTTAAGTGAATGTTCATTGAGAATACTTCTGAACTTCTTTCTCAATATTTTACTTTATGGATTACTTATAAGACATACACTTTAAAAGGGCAGTACCAATGAGATGTTAGAAATGTTAACTGCAATCAGGAAAAATAATTCTTGAAAGATAAATGTCTATGTCTAAAAGTTACCCCATTTCAAACTAACCAACTCTTTATTTACCTTTTGTAGGGTAAATTCCAAATAGGGTTCATAACTCTGAACACAAGAGAGCAGCAAAAGCAAGTGGAATAAAGGTCATCTAACTGCTTCTAAAAATAGTAGTTTATGTTTGGTCTTCAGATAGCCATGCACGATATTTTAAAAAGTCATTTAAAAAAGCTAAAATGTAAAACATACAAATTTTGAGATCAAGCAGTGTTTGTTATCAAGACCAAAAGTATGGTTTTAGGAAATTAGAATCTAGTTCAGTTTGGTAGGTTTCACGGGCAGTCATTAAAATGTACTTTTAAACAATTCTATTTTATATCAGGATTTTTAAAAACTATTAAAACATCATATATAATATATGTAAAACAACATTTGTCTTATTTTTATATAGCTTGCATTAAAAGGCTCTAACTACAGTGGATTACTTGAACGACATCATATTCACACCAAAAATGTACAGCATATTGTAGATAGTTTACGGTAAGTCTGTGGGATTGGGTCTTGGATGGGCTTTTATATTCAGGACTTCCATTTTACAAATTTGTACCAGCAACTAGCTTTTAGATTTTGGTAAACACTGTCATTATAAAATCATTTTCAGAAAATTATATTGAGTTTAATGAATCTGATTTTATAGCTTTCTAAGGAAATTTTTGTTGTGCTCTGAAAATTTCATGGATATTTTCAGTTATTTGGTCTACCAGAGAAATGCCATTTTTGTAGATAATTCACTACTCAACTATCTTCAATAGTATATGTAATTTTTATAACAGTATACTATGAATATTATTATATTCTTTGTGGGAATTTCAGTTAATTTAGGACTAAATGTCATTGGGTAAGTTTGTGTGTATACAAGAGAATAAATATGAAAGCATGCAAAGTAAGATTTTTTTTTTATCACTGAATGTCTGCCACTCAATGAATATTTGTTGAATTTGAAATAACTACTTGGCTTTGTTAAGTGTTAATATTCTGGACCACTTTGTTTTAATAAATGTTAGCATCAGAAGGAACAAAGAAAATAAAATGAAATTCTGACCAATATTGCTTTTTGTTAGTGGTTATAAGAGTTTTTTTAAAGCACATGGAAATTTGAATAGTATTAATTTTAGTTTATTTGTATTTTTCATGACATAGTTAATTGGCTGTTATTAAATGAAAATGAAGCTGTCTTTACAAAGCTACACATAATTTATGTAACACAAACATAATTTGTTTTACATCTCTAATATGCTAGTTTCCTTCTCAGAAAACGTACCCTTACTATGTTACCATCAGTGGAAGTTTTATATGACCTTTACTTTTTAATCTTAGGAATGAGGGAATCGAGGTTCGCCTAGTTAAGAGGAGAGAATATGATGAAGAGACTGTTCGATGGGCAGATGCTGTCATAGCTGCAGGAGGTAATTATTTAATAATAATGATGTTGGGACATGGAAATGCTCTTTAATACTTATGATTTCCAGATACACTGGGGTATAGCTATTTTGAAGACTTTAGAGTCCTGTCAGAAAATGGAGTTTTAGGATTAGTTTTAAAACAAATGTTTTATGTAACATTGCACATTTATAGTGAAGTATGTTCCTGTGAGGTTCCATGTGTATATTTCTGTGTTTGTATTTAAGGAGTGCTTTTAACTTCACCTATTATTCAGAGGATTAGTTATAATTGTAATTTGGTTTAATTATGGTAGCTTAGAAAAAAAAACCCTGAATTTGGTGGTTTCATGGGATTAGGTAAATTCCATGTCCTTCTTTGGTTCCAGTATACTTACACTTCTTTATTTCCTGAACATTGTCATTACTGGTGACCATTCTTTCTAAAGCTTTTTATTGTTGGAGAGAGAAATCTGAAGTTGGATACTTTGTTAAATATGTTCTCACTAAAAATGAAATATGTCTGAGCAGAGGAAATTAAGAATTGCTATCAATATATGCGGTGATGGGTATATCAATTAGCTTGATTATAGTACATTTATATATGTGTGTGTATGTGTATATATATGTGTATATATGTATCAGTGATGTTGTGTACCTTAAATAGATATAATTTTGTCTGTTATGCTTAATAAAATAAAATCCATGTCAGAAACAATAACAACCAAGAAAATTTATGGATTTGGACTGGTTATAGTGGAATGAAAGAAGCTTTGAGTTTATAGCAGTAGATCTTAGCCAGGGGGAATTAGTGTCATCTAATAGGTATAGATCAAAGACACTGCTAAATATTTTGCAATACACAGGACAGCCCCCACAACAAATAACTTGCCTGCCCAACGTATCAGTCTTGTTACTGTTGAAATCTTGGATTAGAGTAGCAGGGATAATATAAAGATACAGCAGTCAGCTGTATCAGTCAGGCTGTAGCAGTCAGCAGGGTAGGTTGAAACAAAAGTACTGATTTTCAAAGTGATATAAAAAAACTGGTTTTGTAACACAAGTCTGGTTATATCTTGTATTTTATTTCCTTAGGTGATGGTACAATGCTTCTGGCAGCAAGTAAAGTCTTAGACAGACTTAAGCCAGTTATAGGTGTAAACACCGATCCAGAACGGTAAGGCAGAACATATTCTTTTTGTGTGTTTGGTTTGTGGGGTTTTGTTTTGTTTTTTTTTTTTTGCATGTTATACAAAAAGGCATTTCTGATTTTCTTTGATAGCATCTATAATCAGTCTTAAAATTTGAAAGCTGTTCTTTACTTTCTGTACCGTAGTTACATTACTAGGCTCTGTTGTTATGGGGATTTTACTATGTTTCATGATGTTTAAGTGGAAGGATCCTTGTTCCTGGCTACCATGAACAGTAGCCATGTTCCAAAAATTTTTGGATGAAATTTAGGCATGTAGAATTAATCACCAGCTTTTCATAGGGCTGTCTTTTATGTAAATGTTTTCAGAGACAGCTCTAACGTTTAGCACAGACATAGTGCGTGTCACTGGCATTGATAGTAGAAAGTTATCTGTTAGGCAGTTTGGGAGGGGGATCTGTGGCGTGATAGACCTTTTGCCTTGACTGGGAAAGTGTCGGAGACCTTTGGCGTTGCTGAAGAAGGATGAGTTAATTATGATCCATCTTCTATCCTTCCTTAATGAGTGTCATACATGTTCCTGGTTATTCCTGTAGGGACTTTTCTAGGTAACTTCATTGACTTAATGAAAGAATTATCTAAACTATTGTGCTTTTCTTTTTTCTTTTTTCTTTTCTTTTTTATTTTTTGAAGCAGAGTCTTGCTATATAGTCAAGGCTGACCTTGAATTTGAGATTCTCCTGCCTCATGCTACTGAATACTGGGATTACATGCATGTGCCACCATGCCCAGATGTCCCCCCCCCACTTTTCTAGTTTCACTGATGTTAACCATTATTCTCTTCCAACCTTCCACAGTCATGATCATGACTTTATTATCATTTGGAATTTCTCTATGCCCATAGTCCTAATTTAATTCTAGCCACAGCCTCCTGCTTTAACAACGGTCTTATTCTCTTATCTCACTAAATTTGAATTTCAGGGTTCAGTTCCCATCTATTCACACCATTTAATTCTCCATTTTATTTATTTTCTTGTTAGTTTTTTTAAATATTACACTCATTATCTTTGATCTAGGAGATGAGTCTGACTGTCATCCTTTCTACTTCCTAGCAGCATTAGAAAGGTTGTCTAGGGGGAAAAACAGTAGAAACTTGGACTTAATCAAAACATCATGTAAATGATGATAAATAAGCTCTCTGGACATCATTAGGTGCCATATATTCTCATCTTCCTGTAGCAACTTATAGGGAAGCTTAGCCTTCTTGTAATTGCCATTTATTTTAATTTGTCTTCTACCTTAAGCTGTGTTCATCATTATGTTTTTTTTTTTTTTTACACATTGGAATAAGCTCTCTTGGTTCTCTTTTCATTTAAGAATATCTTAACATTTAAGGGTGATTATGGTTCAGTGTATTTTCACATAGATTGATTCTTCAGCATAATCTTTTGTGATTGGTGGTTTTATCATGCCTTTGGAGATCAGGAAAGATACTAAAGTGCCTTATTCAAAGTTCATAGCTAAATTGTTTAAAGATAAGACGTAGACACCACTATACTCGTAGAATAACTATAGGGTAATCAAACAGTAGCAAGTTTGCTGTTTTTTTTTTAAGTTTCTAATGTGGAAACAAGTATTGTGTATTATGCATGAGAGCTAGATATAGACTATTTCTGTTCGGTCTTCTTGTTCTTCTTGAAAGTACAGACAATTTTGATTTTTATAATACCTTTAAACTTTTTCTTCTCATTTTCTTCTCTTTATGTCACCCTAAAATCCACTTTAACTAAAGGTCTGAAGGTCACTTATGTCTGCCTGTTCGATATACACATTCCTTCCCAGAAGCCTTACAGAAGTTCTGTTGTGGTGAGTTCAGGTAGGAATTTTTTACTGTTGTACTTACATATTTTAATAAGTATGTGCCATTAATAACACTGTTAAAAATAGCACAAGTCAGGACTATTATTTGGATTACTCCATAGTTAGAATTGTAGCCTTAAAAAGTAATACACTTGCTGAATTACAAATAGATCTGACTTACATTCTCCTAGTCCACTTAGAACTATGTAGAGAAAACTTGTTAAATGTTAGTTGGCTATAAGTGCAATTAGAGGTGTTTCTTCTTTGGTGAGATAGAAGTCATGCCTTTACTTTCTTAATCTTGTTATATATTCTTAGCAGTTAAAGCGGTTAAGGGCTCAAATTCTGAGATTTTATTTTTTTTGTTTGTGTGTGTATGTGGTAGTGGGTGTTGAAGTCAAGGCCTTGTCACTGAGCTATGTCCCTAGCCTTTTAAAACAAAAAAATTTTTTTTAGACAATCTATCACTAAATTGCCCAGGCTCAAAATTGTGATCCTCCTATCTCAGCCTCACAGAGTGCTGGGATTACATGTGTGTATCACTATGCCCAGCTAAGATTTTATATTTTTATATTCATCTTTTATCCAGTAATGAATGGAGGGTTGAATATTTAATATAGCCATTTCTGTCTTGCATATTGTTGTTAAGCAGTGGGGATGGGGTTATTAAAAAGTTTTTTTTACTTAATGTGTGTAATGGTCAGACTGTCATGAAAAGAGGCAGATGGAAAAGCTGAGATAGGTTAGCTAGTTATATGTGAGAGAGCCAAGTTGAACTACTTTTTATAGTTTAAGAAATTTTTTTCTCCAAATATTTGTAAGATACTATTTAATTTTTTAAAAAATTGTTTTAAATAGGCACATAGTAGATATTTTTGGAGTATAACGTTACGTTTCAAAATGTGTACAATAGTCAGGTAAGGGTAATTGATATATTCATCACCTCAGACATTTATCATTTCTTTGTTTTGGGAACATTGAAAATCCTTTTAGCTATTTTGAAATACTCATTTATTATCAGCCATAGTTTTTCTACTTTGCTAGAGAACATGTGAAATTATTCCTCCCATTCAGGTGTACCCCCAAAATACTCACTTCTCTAGAATCACATTATAATTAGTGATTCTAATTTCTCATGGTGTCAGAAATCTGTCACTTCTAGAAGCAACTAATTTATAACCCCCAAGAGGGAATATAGTTTGGTATATTACCAAGCTGAATCTGGCTTACTGTTTTTGAAACAGCATTATTGATTTTGGAATCAGTTAAGCATAATTCCTCTTTACTTTTATCAAAATATTCTTTAAATCTTTAGGTATAATAAAGATGTTATATTCTTAAACTCTCTTTTAATAAACCCATTATTATGGAATTTGGGCAAATTTTCTTCAGTACAACCACTTTACCATGGTATTTTACTTTCAGAGTACTTTGTATGTTTTCTTGCTTCACAAAACACAAAGCTATAGCAAGCTCAATGTCTTAGACTTAACAGGTTCTTAATTTTAAAAAAAAGCATGACTTTAATTCAAGCTTGGGAGATTTTATACAGACACTCTAGATGTTTTCATTATAATTGAGCAGAGAAATAAATATCCAGATCTCTCATTGAACTGGAAATGGGGAAGGGGTATTTAGTTGTTTCAGGTATAATTTATTCATGGTATGCCTAGTTTTTTAATAAGTGATTTTTAAATTTGGTGAAGTTATGATAATATCCAATCTTTAAGTTAGTGCATTGTGTTTTAACATAACTTTATCCTTCACTTTTCTAAGGTGGTTATGGAGGCAGCGTATTAGATTGTATCTTGAAGGGACTGGCATCAACCCCATTCCTGTGGACCTTCATGAACAGCAGCTAAGTTTGAATCAGCATAGCAGAGCCTTCAACATTGAAAGAGTTGGTGATGAAAGTAGGTGGACTGGTGACTAGAGTTCCTTTTGGGGCAGAACTTCTAGTCTTTTGACCTCTAATTTTTTGAGATAATGACATTTATTGGTAGTTAAATTTTAGTGCCACTAACAACACTTAACAAAGTTCAATCAACTACCTAATTGTAATATTTATTATAATTAGAGTCTAAAATAAGAAATATAACATATTTCTAGGAGAACTCTTTTTCTAGGGCAAGTTTGAAACTGGTTGATTAAAGAGGATCATATAGTACCTGATAGGATGGCTAAGAAAGTTTCTTGGTCTTAATCTGTGAAATGCCCAAAACAAAACAAAACAAACACAAGTAATAGAGATGAAATGAGGTGTTCTGTGGAAAAATTCATAATAATTATTTTACGTGGTTAATACTTAGATATATTTACTATATATAGATATATTTGCTTCTTAGACTTAAGACTTATGTTTGAAGTATTTTAAGGCAATTTGCAGCATTTTTTTTTTTTTTTTTTTTTTTTTTTTTTTTTTTTTTTTTTTTTTT